ACTATGCCGCGACCCCACTGTGCTACCGTTTATTTTTCTTCTTAGACTGCTATTTGCAAAGCTGTAAGAGTTATGAGCAAACAATACAAAATATTTGTTTGATTTAAAGTTATTAAAAATATTAGAACCTGGGGAACATCCTGTAAAATACCTACCCAAAATTCAGTTAAATTTTCCAATTGTGTAACATTTTCTATTATTACAATCTTGTTCATTGATAAATCCAGAGTATTGAGTTTTAGATTTTTGTTAAGGTTTTCAATGACGGTGATTCCATTTTCTGATAAATATAATTCTTCAAGACTTTCTAATTGATCAAGTTTTTCAACTTTTATTAAACTATTATTTTGTAAACTTAATATTTTCAAGTTTTTTAAAGTATCCATATTTTGAATTTTATCAATTTTATTTTTACCAAAATATAATTCTGTCAAGTTTGTCAAATTATTTATATTTTCTATAACCTAAAATTATTAGAACAAATATTTTTATTGTATACATATAAAATTTGTTGCTCAATTATAGAATTTAATATATTCATACTTTAATTTTATTATCACCCAATTCCAATAATTTTAATTTGGATAAATGATTAATATTTTCTATTTTTGTTATTCGATTACTTGATAGATATAATTTTTCTAAGTTGACTAACTCTTTAAGACCTTCAATAATCTTTATACGATTAAAAGACAAGTCTAATATTCTAAAAAAAATTACATATTATTAATTTATAATTTCTTAACACTCAATTTTTCAAAGCAAAATCTTAAAATTATTACTAAAAATAATATAATATTAACTAGAGTTTGTAAAAATTAAGTTAATTAACATTGTATCATCTAATTTTATTTTACATTTATACAAGATTTACTTCAAATTAGTAAGATTTGATAAATTTTCAATTTTAGTGATTTGATTATCATATAAATCAAGTTCATTAAGTGTAACAAGCATTTGTAAATTTTCTATTGTTTTAATTCTATTCCAACGCAAACATAACAAACGTAAATTACTCATTCTTTCAAAATTTTCAATTTTATCAATTTGCTGATGATTTAAATCAAGTTCCTAGAAACAAAAAATGTATTATTAAAAGTCATTTGAAAAATGTTATTTTATCAATTTAGAAAAGCAGTTTGTTCTTATTTATGTTTTTGTAAGCTAATTAAAATTTTTATAATGTTTAACGGTGAGTTAAACTTGATAATAAAGTGATGATTTTATTATAGTACACAGTCAATGATTTTAATTTGAATCGAGGATTGCTTTGTTAATAATAAAACTTTTAGTGAAAGAACTATAAAATAAACTTTTATATTATAAAACTAAAAATACCTCAGCATTTTCATCAATGTCTTCATGACATTCTTCATACACAATAAGTTTTACACCATTTTCATCAACATGTTCTGTTGCTCTTTCGGAACACAATTCTGCATTATCTACTACGTTACCTGAAAATATTCAAATTTAAAGTTATACCCTAACTTTTTAATAAAAATTAATTACTACTTTTATTTTCATCAACTTCCATTTTTTCTTGTTTTATAATTGAATAAAATTGTACACAGGCAGAAATGTTCAAAATCTTAACTTATTTTCGTACCCTAAAATGTGTATAAAAATAATGAAATATTTAATATAATCTATTAAGTTTAATTAGATTAAGAAATTTGAATAATTTAATATTAATTCTTAATTTTATCGTAAATTAAGATAAAAAAATTGTATATACATAGATAACGTTGGATTTTTTTACCCGACGTTATCTATGTAACTTTGGCAAAAATTGTTTTATATACAACCAGAGATAAGATAAAAAAAACGGGAAAACATATTTGCCACGAACTGATAATGCTTTTACATTTGACATAGTAGTAATTGTTCAGAAAATCTGGTACTCCGACCATCTGATACCATACGCTATCATAACCACGACGGATTTTACTCCGACATTTAATTAAAAAAATGAGATGGTAATTATCTCCGACATTATCGATAGCTTAATACTTCGATTATGCATCGAAAGTTATGTTATATATTGATTATATTATTAGTAATAGCATAGTAAAATGAATAAGAAGTATGATCAATCAAATTAGTGCGCATTATATGCCTAGAAGCAAAATATGCAACCAACAATAAACTCATCGTGACGTCACACGTAAATACATTGCGTTGTATATATTCTATATTAAGGGGCACTGTCCCGATTTAGCCAAGTATCCTATTCATTTTACTATGAGTAATAAGGCGCATCGATCGTTTATGTTGCAATGTCAGGGTTACGTTGCTTTAACGTTTTTTATGTTTTTAATTAATTATTAATAATATTGTAAAATTTAAATTTAAATTAAAATGTTTTTTAAATTAGTATTCATTTTATTAATTTTTTTCACGAGTATTCCTTGATATTTTATTTATCAGTAGTTAAACATTTTATAATATAAAATAATTGTTGTTCCCCTTAAAAATATGTACTTATCACTTTTCTTTGTTATTAATAAAGTAACAAAGATGTCTAGTCCATTTAATTTATTTTATTTTATACTATAACTTGTGTATCATCAATACTATAAGTTAGTAAAAATATTTTATTGATTAATTTTAAAATTATATCTAGTCTAAATTGTAATTACCACTGTTCCATGAATCTAATATATTATTTAAAAAATTTTCAACACAAAAACAAACTCTTATAGCATTATTATTTAAACATAGTATTTATAACTAAATGAAAATTGTAATATTTAATAAATATATGATTATTATTAATGTGTAATATATAATTTACAATATTTTTTTAGTTGGGACTTAAAAGTTAATGGTCTAGTTTGAAATGTTTTCTGTAAGCTTAATTCCTATATACTTTCTCAACCACAAATCTATATACTTATACAAATAAATTGTTAATTTATTTTGTGCGTTTGAGAAGCGATAAAGATTTCCACATTAAAATTCTTTTACTTTTCTCGATTTGCAGATATATTTGAAAGTATGCGCCTTTTATTGAATCGATACACCAGTGCAAATCGTGGTCATGAAGGCTTACATTACTAATGAATCTTGATAGCAGAATATTCTAATAAATTCACTCCTATAAATCTATTTTGAATGTGATGATAACAAGGAATTTATTCATTTGTCTTGGTGACAATTTGCCTTTAGTAACATGACCAGTTGGACTTTGATCTAATCACCTGGGAATCTCAAAACTGTCAAAAAAGTGGCAATATGAAAACGATTTGGTCTATACAAGCAATGTACGACACCCACCCTTTTTTGAAGTCAAATCAGTGAAGTAGAATCGACAGCTTTTTTTTCTAATCTTTTTAAATCTTTTATTTTTTTTCAATTTAATAATTATTTAAATTATTTATTTTTTAAAATAATATCTAAAAAATATCTTTAGGTACTACTCTTTTAATTACTACAGTAAAAATAAAAATTTATCCATAGTATGTTTTTAAGCTTCACTTCAAAACAATTTTATGCTAAACATAATAGCTGTGACTTAAATAACTAATTTAATAGCCACGTTCAAAATATTTTCTTTAAGCTTTAGTGATATGTCTTTCTCAACCACAAGTCCTCCCTATACCCATAAACCACAAATAAAAGATTTTCGCTGTGTCAGAGTATAAATTTATTATTTGTCTATACTTAAGCGAATAATTGTTCACCTTGTATACAATAAATGTATACAAGGTGGACGACGGGATGGAAGGAGATAAGCTGACAGCACACAGTAGAGACCAGTTACTGTGGAAGGTATGAAAAACAACAATGACGTTTATGACAATGCAAATAATTGATAAATAAACTGCTCGATTGATTATTGCATACGAAGGTTGATGAGCATACATGACCTGTAAAAGTGCACATTGAAGGGCATCTCCAGTAATATAAGTATGGAATAATAGGCATTTATATATAAATTTTGTTTGTACCGCTTTAAAAGGACCCAAGTTAGTGAAATTGAGTTGTAGGAATAAAAGTGTATAATTTTTTTTTTAAGGAGGAATAAGCCCCCTAATATCCCCCAAAACTACAACCCCAGTTAGAAAATAATACTAAGTTTTCAAAATCAATAACAATTAAATTGTTATTGATCTGTCAGTATAAAATTTGTATGATGGTTTGACAGATAGTGTGTTAGGAATAATTAACATTTATGTATGCATTTATAGAAAACGGATTTGAATGAACATTTGTTCCGAACGTAGAAATAATAATAGATAGATAAAATATTTAATTGAATTAATGTTTTGTGGAACAAAAATATTTAGATAAAGATATCATTGACACAAATATTTATTATAATAACCACGATTATAGATACGAATTATCTATAATTGTAGAAATAACTAAAGTTTGGACATAATGTTTGTTAGAACAAATGTTTCAAGAATAATTGTTAATTGGAACAGTAAACATTTTTGGATAATAATAGCTTTGACACATAAAATTTGCGGAACAAAGGTTAGGTTCAGGATTATTACGTTGTAAAACACCAAAAATTAAAAAAATTACAGTGGTATTATGAGACGTTTTAAACTGTTAATTTTTATTTTAAACAGGTTTTTTTAAATATGTAATTTTAACAATCCTGGGCGATACTTGCAAATAAAAATGTTTTGGTAGCTATTGATGATTGTGAATTTAAGTTTGCTACTCTGTATCTATTAAGGCGCCAAAGTTGAATTTGATATTAGATTCATATCATTTCATTAATCATTTTACCTGACGAGTAAATTGAAACAAGATTACTTGTATTAACCATTCGTGAATAATTTTCAATGTTTTATTTTTTTATATTTTAATTTTTTGTTTATATCCAAAAATGTCTAATTTTGTATTATGTTTTCTCTAAACACTTAATACCATTACATGAAATTGTTAACATTTTTAGATTTTAAATAGGCTGTTCATAAAATATGAATAATAAGGATATTCGCGAGTTGAATAAAGATTTGAGTAATTGTATACGAAAGTTAGATTCCAATAAAATCACTGAAAGAAAGGTTGGTATGTTTAATATCATCATTATAAGTGCAAATTAGGAGGTGCTATTAATAATTCACACCCCTGAAATGTTATTAACATCCAAAGCAAATATTATTTCTTTATATTGTAAGTGTTTACATTGTCGTCGGTATACAGTGTGTACTTTACTTAAAACTAAGTAGTATGTTTTGGGTTTTCTACTATTATAGTGTAAATACGATAGCTGTAGGAAAAGCATTTATATTGTGTTGCTGTTTATTAATAAATAGATGAAAATAATCAGTATTGGGTAATTTTTTATCCAAAAAATGTTTGGAATAAATGAATCATGGAAAATTAGATAAATAAAACTTAAAAATTTGGAACAAATGTTAATTTTTATAAAAGAGTAAAGGAAAAAAATATGACAAATATAAATTTTCAATGTATAATATAGTTAATATAAATCTTATCAATTTAAATAATTTATGAATTTCAAAAACAACTTAAACAACTAGAATATATATATTTTTTAATTTAATTCATTTTGAAATAAATTTATTAAAGCATAAAATGTTATGTATATCATAAATTAGTTTTTAGACTTTTATAATATTGTAGTTTAATTTTTTGACAATCATTTAAGAAACAATAAACATAAATAATATATTTGAAAGTTACAATTTTTATATTGAAAAGTATTAAATAAAGTATAATGAAGGAAATATATTGGTTTTTTCAGCTGTATTTAAGTATAAACTTGTATTATGAAATATTTTATTTAAGGAACTTGAACTGGAACTAGTTAATTTTTAAGAATTTTCCCATTAATGCTTATATGTTTCTCAAATGATCGAGTCAATTGTCATAAAATATTCTATTTTATAGAATAAAATAAAATAAAATTTTATTTTTTTATTATTTAGCAACATAATAAATTATATAATTAATAATTAATATTAACTAAGTTGATAAGACTTATTAATTAAATATATGTGATATTATATGCATAATGCTATACATTACAAATTTAGATGATACTTAACTTTTTTCATAAAAAATCACTTATATAATACTAACTTAGTATTATCTGAAATTTTTCTATCTAAATAAATTGCTTTGTTAGTCTTAACACATCATCTCTAAACACAATCAATTTGTACAGATTATATTATACTATGAAATCTTACTTTATATAATATATAAAGTAAATATTCAGGAGATAATGAGTTTATACCATTTTTCATTTCTCATATAATATCATATTCTTGTAATTCAAAATAAAAACTTGAATAAATACATTGCTGTGCAATATTCCAGTTAGAATATTACATCGCATACATTAAAATATCAGATTAAATTATGTAATAAAATTCTATTTAATTATAAATAAGCTAATGGAGCAGCTTACACAGAAATTTATTAAATTTGTGAATAAAAGGGTATTTATTTAAATACATGACACCAAACCAAAAAATTAGTTAAAAATAAATAAACTATATGTTTGCTTATATGATCAATAACAAAAATTGAATTGAACATAAAAATTAATTCATTGTTCTTTTTTTTTTTTTATAGCCTTTAATAAAATAATAATTAGTTCAACAATTATAAACAAATAGTAAAAAGTATAACAGTGACAATACTATGTTATATTACAACGGTACAACAGATATGATAATAATTGTTAGTTAGCTCTAAAATAAAGAGAAATTAAACATTATATAAAATTATTGTTAGCAGAGTTTTTAATGTGCAAATTAAAAATCATTAATTTTAAATTTTAATTTAAAAGAATGGAAGAAGAGAGAAAAATAAAAATTTATTGTTCATTTTTTTTGCTAAGTATTAATTATAGATCTTACTGTCTATATAATAATTTCAAGTATCATTAAATGTTGGCCTTAAGTTCATGGAAACTTAGTGATTATGAATATATTTATGATTTTGCATCCTTTCTCTAAGCCAGAATTCAAAAAGAATTTAGAGGTTAAATTATTCTAGCTCCCTCGAACTCTCTGCATGATGATTGTCTTTGCTGGATAACAGATTCAAATCCAATACCGTGACCTATTTTATAATAGTTTAAGATTTATTTTCAAGACTCGCTTTTATTCCTGGTTGCCATATCAGTTACATATTTTATATTAGCTTATATTATCTTAGAAATCAACTTTCTGATAGAAAATATATTATCTTGAAATATTTCAAAGTTGGTTTTAAGTGTACTACTATTTAAAATGGATAGTTATAATTAATTATTTATTTACTTAATAGATATTCAGAGAAGAACTAAAACATCTCTTAGAACGTGACAATATTGTTGAATTTCTAAATAATAATTGTGAACTCAATGATCAACATTATGACATTCCTGAAGAAAACTTAGTTACATGGAAAAGTCTATTACTAAGTTGTCACAAATGCTTTATTATGGTTTGTTTATTATAAAAAGAAGACATTTTATGTTTAAATTATTTGTAATAACTAAGTTTAAAATATATAGGAAGTTGAGAAAGAGCTGAAAAAGCAAGTTAAAGTAAACAGTTTTAAAGTTCAACAGCCTATTTTAGATAGTTGTTCTTGTTTACTAAAAATAGTTATAAATAAAGCTAACCAAAGTAAGGAATGAATAAATTTAATTATTATTATGACTTATTATATTTATATCTAATTTAATAATATTTGTTACACCATATTATTTGATAAAAATAATTTTACACTTTTTGTATAAGGTTGTACAAATTTTTTTGAGAGTTCTTCCTCTGTTGCCCATTCATAATCATCCCGTAAACTTATGTTTTCTAAGTTTCCTCCTAAAAGAGCTGTTTTATAGAAAAATATTTTTGCACCTTGTATGTTAGATTGTTGTTGTTTTTCTTTGGGATATTTATATTTATAGAATCCACAAGGAGCATTACCATAAAATCTAGCTCTTATGGTTTCTCCACATAAATTTTGCAAAACTCTCTCTGCTGCTTGCCTTAATGTTTCACCGCTTTTCCATTTACCTTGAGGTAATATCCAAATACCCTCACAGCCAAAATTTTGCTTTAAAATCAAAATTAAATTTTGTTCAAGTTTCCTATTGAGTGATTTATAATCATTTTCTTTATCAGCTTCAGTTAAACAACTTGCAAACTTAAATTTGACTAATTCATTTTTATTTATATCTACAAAATCTTGTGCTGATTGATTAACTGCTTGTTCTATGTCTAAATCATCAACTTTACCTGTCTTTAATTTTTCCATTCTCAATAAATCTTTTTCATGTCGAAGTTCATGATCTGATTTTAAACTTCTTTCGTATTCGATTTCATGTAAAATTTTTTGAAATTTTTTTTCTATATCATTTAATGGTTTAGTAATCAAAGGTTTACGTTGAAGACAAATACCAACCATTACATCCCACTTCATATGATTAGTTGAGTAGAACTTAGAATAAAATGGATTTAATAGTCTAAAATTTCTTGTACAAAACATAATGTCAACTAGTTATAGCGTTTTACTTAAGTATTAATTATGCTATTAAATTTAATTTTATAGTTCTATTTGATAATTTCAAACGTTTTTAAATGTGAAAATAGTCATAGTTAATCTGGTGGAAGATATCATTCTTTGCTTTATCACTCATATTTTAGATTATTTTTTATCAAATAGATTTTTAAATTGGCCTGTTAAACATTATACAGTAGATAGATAAGATCTATTCTATGAGGGAAAACGTATTTCAGTCGAAAATATTATGGTCGAACTGGGAGCGCGTAAAATATCCGAAAATATAAATGTCGAATCGTATTTTGGCCGAAAAATAAATTAATCGAACAGTAACTTTCACCGAAAAGTTATACAGACGAAATAATCGAAAATATTTAAGCCGCAGATTGTATGCATTTTATAATTAAATCGGTAAAGTTTTAATGTTAAAAAAATTAATTAAGTTAAAATTTTTTACATTTAAGTTAAGCTAATTAATTTTTTTAATTTTAAGTTAAGTTAATTAAATTTTAAAAACAAAAATATTTTCAACAGGTTTTTTAGATTTTACTATTATCAACTTTCAGTTATAGTTGTATTCTAACTTTTTACTTATAAATTTTTTTTGCATGAAAATGAACGAGATTCGGGGACATGATTTTTAATTTAATTATATCAATCATTATTGTGTACAGTAAGCTAATAGAGCTATAGATCCAACCATAAGATAATAATTTAATTTTAAAAATTCTTGGTGGGTCAAACTGTGAATGAAAAACTTCTCGTGCACCCTCCCTTCTTTTTGCAGCTATTGGACCTTTGTTAATCGATATTATGTACAGGTATGTAATATCAATTAACAAAATTGTTGTCTTAATACCTATTGTTTATTCATCTTGAATAGAGCATAGGATTTCTAGTATTTGTTTATTTTATTTTGCATAAACTTTATGAAAAACCCAGCTCGAAAAAACTTTGTTTTAGTTCACGATGAAACGAAATCTGTTATTTTATATTGCATACATGAATACTTAATACTTTTTACTAATATAATATTTTTGTATTTAGATAGAGCGGTAGCATATTATTACGTTGAAATTAACACCGCTACCATCATAATGTCGTACATTGTTACGTGTTGTATGGTTATCTAGTTGATAACGATTTATTTATAAACACATTGTTTTCTATAAGAAAATTCATAATAAGAAAATAATGTTTTTCGGAGATAACAATAAAATATTGTGACTTTTAAGAGAGTAAAATTCTTAATTTTTTTGTTCCCCTTTTAATTATTTATTATTTTATTAAGCTAATCAAAATACAATCGATATTAACCAATAAATTTTAATTTAGTAATCATATTTTAAATAATAGATTTTGTTCAAAAAATGTAGGGCAGACAATTATTATTTTTCCATGAATTCGGTTAAAATAATTTTCGGATTGTTTTTGTTAAGCTAAATTAAGATTTGAGAACAAATTATTTTTCGATTGGAATATTTTCTGATGAAATACATTACTAAAATATATACTGATGAGCACTATAACCCATGGTCGAATCACGACTAAATAAAAACATAGTGCATTCTATCCTAGAACAACAAAATCGAAAATAAGATGCTCTGATTATGAATCTTTAAAGTGATGAATCGAGTTACAATAATTAAATTTATTAAATGCTTCATTTACAATATATTTTTTCATACAATTAAAATTAGTATAACTTTTTGATAGTTTTTCTTTGATATGCGTTCAGAAAATCCGAATAAAAATTTAAGTACAGAAAGTTTGAATAAGACCATCTATGTATATCAACATTTTTTTATTTAATTCAAATTTCGAAAATGTTCTGAAACGTCTGACAACTTTTAACTTTTATCAAATATAAAGTTTAAAAACAAACTTTAAAGTTTTTGTGTAATAATCGAACAATTCTATAAAATGTTGACAAAATATTATTTTATAGGATTTTTAAGAAATTAATGTTAACTCCATTGGCATACGAAAAGAGAGGTTGGGTTTAAATATATTTTAATTTTAAAATAATATTAGCCATTAGTGATCAATTCTTATTATATAAAAAGAAATGTTTGGGAATTAATCTTTCAAATTATTATTTTTCAAAACTATTTATTTTCATTTAAACCGTTTTAACTTTTTTAAAAATGTATACATCAAAACAATTTTTTTGTTAAATACCTTAAGTATGTATTTTTTATATGACACATTTACTTTAACATTTTTTTTTAGTTGCATAATTCTTTTTTTAATATGATCATTTACTTACTCCGAATATAGGTTTTACATTACTATATATATATATATATATACATATTTATATTATATTAATTTTTGGATTTGGTATGAATCAATAGATTTAACAAGAAATTAAGCATTTTTCTTTAATTAGAATATAAGTATTTGTATGGCCTGATATCTTTTTAACACAAAATATATCTTAAAATTGTATTAACTATGAATATTTTTAAGTGTAAATAACATTGAAATTATAGCTTCAAAAATAAAAGAGTATATTAAAAATTTTAAGCTAAATAATATTTTAGCATAATAAATACTTTATTTTTTGTTTCGTAAAAAAAAAAAAATATTAATTTAGTAAACCTTTTTTTATTAAACAAATTTTTACTTGATATATATTTTTAGCAAAACCATGTCTACAAATTGTAGACTTATTAAATTGCATTATGGATGTATCCAAGAATAATATTTACCAAATGTATGCAGGAGAAGTATATTATAAAATCTTAGAACAAAATGTACTGTCACGAAAATATTATTGGCCAATTTTAGGGGAATATTGGAATGGTAATTTAAACTTATATTTATCTACATTAATGGTTATTCAAAATATTAAGATTTTTTTTGTTAGATATTTTTAAATTAGCTTGCAATATTTACGTAGAAAACTTTCAAAGCATTTCACTTAAAATAATGAAACAAATTATAAATAGAGGACATAATCAATCTTGTGTAACATTAAGCATAAAAAAAAGGTAATATACATTTATTTTATTCACCAATCAGTTTTTTATTGGTATAATTTTGTGTTATTAGTACCTTAAGGAAGATATTTAGATTATAATATTTCACTTTGTTATAAATATTAATTTTTATTTCAATATCTTTATGCATCCTACTAATACTGAATAACCTTTATTGAAACATTATTTATTTAATTTTGAAAGTAATATCTACAAGGTGATTGATTAATTATGCCTTATAAGTATAAAACATAATACAGTTTTTATCTTTCAAAAGTTAATTGTTTTCTTTGTTTTATCATATTCAAAATAATGTTTTTTCTCCATCTCCCTTTTAAAGTAGTATCAACTTAAGTTTTTTTAAATGGAAACAATTTTTTAACTTAAATATAGTTACTTAATATAAACTTGCTTAAATATAAGAAAATGAATGGTCCAAACAACTTTTGAAAGCATTTTAAAATATATTAGCACTTATATACTAGTGAGGTTCATAAATGCCTAAAAATTTAAATAAATAAATCCATGCTTCATCTTCAGTCATTATAGTAAAGTGTTAATTACATCCAAAATTTTTGTTCAAAAGTTGTTATTGATCGGTCATTTTTTTAGATTGTTCCATTAATTTTAAACTTTTAATGTATCCATTTGAAAAAACTTTTAAAAAATTAATATTATTTTAAAGAGTAGAGAGGGCGATAGTATCAATTTTTTAAACAATTTAATCCATGGCATTTATTTGTTATTAAATATGAAAAGAATTATAGTAAATGTTTATCATCATTTACAACAAATTTTAATCATAATAGTTGGACGATATAGATATTTTAGAATAATATACCATACATTATGAGTGTATATGATAATTATCTTTTAACTTCGATGTAAAGCTGAGAAGGTATTAATTTTACTAAGTGTTTTCTTTTTTTTTGTGTATGTCAGTTACTACTTTTTCTCATTTCTCACTAAACCTATTACTTTCAGCGATAAGCCAAAAGATCACATATCATATTAAGTTGAAGACATTACCCTCAAAAATTGAAAAAATTTCCCTCGTTTCCAGTAAATGGCGTGTTCTCACGATGGTGGTAGGAAATGGGAGTTGTGGTCTTATTGCGGTAGGGGAAAGGGGAGGTGTGTTCAAGGGAGATGGTGATAGGTAAGGGATGTGTCTTTGAAGGTCATTCAAAATTGCGGTTTTTAAACTATATTGCGCATGCGCACTTTAACTCTACGTCAGGGGTGGAGAGGTTGTTCATTCAAAATTACTATTTCCTCCTACGGTGCCATCTACTGGAGAATAGGGTAAACTAAAACTTTATGTTAACTGATAAACGTACGCATTATATTGAATAGTGTACGTTAAGTGGCGGCCGCCGCCACCACACGTTTCCTTGACTATTCTTAGAACATATTTAATTAATATTATCGTTACAGGGATCAACTCCTTAAGATGGGGCGGTAAAGAAAACTTAACATTAATTAACAGACATAAATTAACATAACTTGCCGCAAGCCTATAGATTGTATGTAATAAATCGATAATCATGTGCAAAAATAAAAATTAATTTTCCAGGGTAGGTACGCGTTTTACCTTGAACGTGCGTATCGTTGTGTCGAATCCGCACGTTTGAAATGTTACAAACCTATATACCGCCGTGCCAATTTACCCCTGACATTATCGTTGAAGTTTAAGTCCCTGTTTCGTAAATTATAAATATCCCTCCTATGTGGTTCCACTACACATTCTAGACATTCCGACAGTCGTGGTGCCTGATAAAAAACACGTGCATAACGCGTAGGCGTAATATTTCACAGCATTGCTACTAGGTCGTTTGTTGTTTACAACATTGACTCTGTGTGTGTGTGTACTCTAACAAATTCCTTTTACGTTAAAATATAACTACAATACAGCCGTTGTTGCTGCTGTAGCTGCCGCCACCGCCGTAACCGCATCAGCTGTATCCGCAGCAGTAGCCGCAACCATATGTATAAGTCGTGTTTAGCCGATGGACTTATTCCGTTACATCATTTTAACGTCTTTCGGGTACAACTAAATTTATATGGGCGACTACTTCATGTCTAGTATACACTATTAGGATCCGCCGTCAGTCTATATCGTTTGATAGTTTTCAACGGTATGTATAAACAGCGTGTGACATAGACCTGTACGTGTGTGTGTGTATGTAATTTTTTTTTTTAAATACCATAATAAAATACGATAACAACCATCAGTACAAATATGTTATTGATACTACTCGAATAGAATGTTAAACGCAACCGTTGACAGTGTGTATTTATTTTAGACATAACTGTCATACTAGTAAAGAAAGAAAGTAAACTAATGTATAGAGTCTTTACAGCATAAAATGGTCTGTGTGTAAAAAACAATACTATGAAGTCAATTTTGTTAACTTTGTAGAAAATATTGTCATGGTCTGATTTTTTTTTTCTAAGAATGACAACGTACACTATTCAATGTAATGTGTACGTTAGTCAGTTGACGTTATCAGTTAACATAAAGTTTTAGTTTACCCTATTCTCCAGTAGATGGCACCGTAGGAGGAAATAGTAATTTTGAATGAACAACCTCTCCACCCCTGACGTAGAGTTAAAGTGCGCATGCGCAATATAGTTTAAAAACCGCAATTTTGAATGACCTTCAAAGACACATCCCTTACCTATCACCATCTCCCTTGAACACAACTCCCATTTCCCACCACCATCGTGAGAACACGCCTCCCTCGCCATACGTTTGAAAGTGAGGCGGACCGTTCTATCTCTCTTTATTTTACCCTACTTATATATATATATTGATATATTACACTTATAAATCATAAATATTGTAATCAGAATATAAATAAGGAAATAGGAGATCATGTAGTTTTTGAAATAATTCATCAATTTATTAAAGTTAAATGCTATCTACAGATTTGCTTCGAAGCGTTTTTTATGATAGTGATTTTACGCACTGTCAGATATCATCTATTCTGAACCTAACTATGCCACGTTCCCACTATGCTGTGTTTTTTATTTTCATTGTTCATAATTTTTTTTCTGGGTATAGTTTCGTGTAGACAATTCTCCTGTAACCACATTCTTTTTAATTTTTTGTAATAAAGTCTCTTACTATCATGAGAAATAAATCGGAATTGCGTGATTTTTACATCATCCGGAAGACATTTTTTTTTTGTCTTCACTTAAAGTAGAGTGCAACCAAAAACTCAAAACTCGTTCCATCAACAATACATAAAAATCAAGTAATAAGTAGTGACGACGAAAACCATTGGTAACAGCAGAATAATTCAAAGAGACTTCATTCTGAAACTTCTCTCTCACCTTCTTCACCTAATAGTTATAAAAGAAATTCAAAGCTATTTATTATGCCAAATCGATACTCTTCTTTACATACGTCAGATAACGAAGAAAAACCTAATAATGTAATAACTGATGCACAAAACAATGTTATTTATAAGAAATAATGCTGTCCCTTTACCACCGCCCATGTTTATTAAAGGCTATATAGATATTACTAAAAAATTTCAAACTAAGTCACCTGAAGTATATCGTAAAATTATTTCATTCCTACAGAGTAAAAATCCCAAATACTATACATATCAAATGATATCCAAAATTTCAATTAAATTAGTTATACAAAATCTTAACCCAACAACTCATTGTCATCTTTTATACTTATTGCACTAATATTGTATATTTTATATAACTCAAATAAAAAAGAAAAAAAGTTTCTGAGAATACATTAAAATTGTATATATATTTTATAAATTTTGTTTATTAATTTATAGCTCTAAGTCTGTGAAATTAATGAAAATTTGTATTTTTACGTTAAGAACTGGTATGGACAATATATAACTAACAATTAGTAATTAATAATTATTATATAATAACATTTAATACATTAATTTATAATTCATATTTGAATTATATCATATTTGAATACTTAAATTTAAGAGCGTAATATTCAATCATGGAATATTTAAAGATCAATAAAAAAAATGTTTGGTTCTAGCTCTGTATGTGAACAAATAGCATGTTGCATAGTTTATTAATCCCTTTGTGTATGATATAATTATAAATAATAAAGTATAATGTCTAGGTTATTTTCTTATTTAAAGAAAGCAATAAAAGATAGCATTGAAACCAATAAAGATTATACTTTCAAAGAAGACATTATTAACCTAGTATATACAGCTTATAAAATGGTAAGTAATTATATTTCAGGTAATAATATCATAGTTACTGCTAGGATAAGTAATCTTTGTTATTTCTTTTCTTAATTGTTTAATTTCATTGGGTACAATTTAAGCAAATCTTGGATTAATGCTAAAATTTTAGTAAAAAGAAAAATTTTAATTTCGATGTAAAGCTGAGAAGGTATTAATTTTACTAACAAGATGGGGTCACCGATTTTCATAAAATTTATATAAATTTAATCTACATTAAATACAAAATAAGATGTATTTTGAATTTTTTGTCAATGCCCCCTTCCTAAGTCGAGAAAATTGACTTTGAGAATTTTTAATTAGTTTAAATAGGGTCATTTTTTTTTAATAACACGCTTATATTAGTTTCACGTGTATGTTGTTTGTTGTTTGTTGTTTGTCGTTTGTAAGTTTGTAACTCCACGAGGCACGTGTTATTATGTCGCGTATCCCGTCGTGTATGACCTTGAGACTATACTGTTGTAATGCATTCGCCCCACCCCGCTCACCACTCGTAGACAACAATATTTTCTAACCCGTAGACGCGTGCGTCATCAATTATGTATATATATAACAAATTTTTATTGTAATTGACACGGCCCGCGTCGTTTCATTATACACAATGCCCCACGACTCGTGCCACCTTTATCAGCCGTCGCCCTATTATGAGTATTTGACTGACCAACACCTCGCGTTATACGCCGCTGTGCAAAGTCCAGCAAGCGCCGCACGCCCGACGACATTCCGCCGCAAATGATACCGTAGTCTTCTTCCCGTTGTCAAAGTGACAACGTCTACGATTCGATCCGCACTCGCGCGCCGTCGCTATCAACGCTGCTAACCTGTTGACGTCCGAGGAACACGCCGGACAACGCGTCGTCGATGCCAGCGAAAGTGCCGCGATATTATGCGAAGATTATATATTCCTACCGCCACCGCTAATATTAATATATATATATATATATATTTATATTTGTACGTATATACGTATATGTTAATATTCATTTATATATTCCTACAGCCGACGCCTCTGCTGCCGTATATGCCTCGTGTATAATGTTCCCTCCGCCATGCCCGCCCACATAAACACGGCTATACCTCATGCATGATACGTTTACGTACTTAAGTCCCTTTAAATATATATATATTCTAATTACTATTAAAACTTATATATTAATACACTTTATTCTCATTAAGAGATATGTAGTGTATTCATTCCGATTACGGAGGATGATTCTCGTATCGTTATTTTTCGTCACTACCTCCACGTTACGCGCCTGCTGCTTTCCTTGGATGTGGTAGCCGTTTCTTAGACTCCCTCTCCGGAATCGAACCCTTATTTCCCGTTACCCGTTACAACCATGATATTGATATTAACTACTATCATAACATGAAACTAAAAAGTGAAAAATAAATATAGTTTAAAAAAACTAAAAAACACGCTTTTAAAGCACATCGAACTAAAAAGTTAAAAATAATTTTTAAAATTAACTTAAAACAATAATGAACGAAAAATACTAGTATTATTGTGAAAAAAAGCGTGGGTGCTTTATGCCATATTTTTTGTATATTGAGCGCCTGACGCTTTTTTTCACAATAATACTAGTATTTTTCGTTCATTATTGTTTTAAGTTAATTTTAAAAATTATTTTTAACTTTTTAGTTCGATGTACTTTAAAAGCGTGTTTTTTAGTTTTTTTAATTAACACGCTTATATTAGTTTCACGTGTATATGTTGTTAGTTGTAAGTTTGTAACTCCACGCGCCACATGTTATTATGTCGTCTATGGACTTGTGACTAAACTGTGGTAACGCATTTACTCCACCCCGATCACCGCTCGCCGCCAATTGATGTACGCAATTGTAATTAATGTTATAGTTGGATTGCATTATTAGATTTAAATCTATCTATAATCGTGATTATTATTGTAGATTAACAGATATATTTTTAACACGTTTATATTAGTTTCACCTGTATGTATGTATGTAACTCTCCAAACGCCACGCGTTATCGCATATTCCGTCGTCTAGACTAGACTGTCATAACGCATTCACCCCTCCCCACGCCTCGCTCACCACACGACGGCACACTATTCCTATAAAAATTTATTTTTAGTTATCGTACCCGTATACGCGTGCTTGTCATCAATATTATACAGAATGTTCAGTAAGTCAGGAAACGGGTTTCTCATTGTTACAAACAATTACAATTGTTTGTAACAATGAGAACAATAGAAACCCGTTACCTGACTTACTGAACACTCTGTATATATAAACAAATTTTTATTTTGACTGACCAATACCGCCCGCGTCTAATGCGCCTTACGTATATATATTTATACAGGGTGTTCAGTAAGTTAGGAAACAGTTAAATTGTTACAAACAATGAGTACAATAGAAATTCGTTTCCTTATTTACTGAACACCTGTATATATATATATATTCTAATTACTATTAAAATTTATTTATTTACACGCTTTATTTTAATTAAGAGATATAAAGTATTCATTCCGATTACGAGGGATGATTTCCGTATCGTCATTTTTCGTCACTATCTCCACGTTCCGGGAGTGAGTAATTTACGCCCCTGCTGCTTTCTTTGGATGTGGTAGCCGTTTCTCAGACTCCCTCCCCGGAATCGAACCCTGATTTCCCGTTACCCGTTACAACCATGATATTGATAGTAACTACTATCATAACATAAAACTAAAAAGTGAAATATAAATATAGTTTAAAAAATTAAAAAACACGCCTTTGAAGCACATCGAACTAAAAATTATTTTGAACATTTTAGTTCGATGTGCTTTAAAAGCGTGTTTTTTATTTTTTTTTAACTATATTTATTTTTCTTGGTTTTTCCTTTGAATTATTAATTTTACGTAATATATATAGTTCTTCTATCGTTTGATCGACAACTATCAGATCCCTTCACCGTTCCAGTATTCGACAAACTCTAGCCTACGTCTCGTAATGCGTCCCATCAAATCTCTTCGGTCCGCTATTTTATGTGGGGCTTCATGGCATTGCAGAATGTGGTCATCCGTCTGTATCTGTCCACACCCGCACAGTTGATTTTCCTTAATACCCCATCTCGCTAGATTACTGTTAGTCCTAGCAACGCCTACTCTTAGTCGGTTTAAAGTTCTCCATAACATATATGGGAGGTTCTCTTTATTGGTGAATTCCGTGGAAGAATCTTCTTCTTTCCATAGTCTAATCCGCTGCTCCTGAGAAGGAACACTCAGTGGTTCACAACTGTTTAGGAAACTTGTTCTGGAGCGTAGGCGTTTTGGTGGTGGTATCTGTCCATACATAGGATAGCGGCCGTCCGTTTCCTTCTTAGTTCTTTCGGTCATTGAACTTACTTTCCGTCGTATTTGTGGCGGAGCAATTCCGCTCAAGCTGTATAATTTAAGTATGTTCATTGGTCGGAGGCATTCAGTAATCATTCGGACAGTTTCATTAAGGGTCATATCTCTTTTTTTTGAGTGTGTTGATTTTCCCCAGACCGGACACGCATACTCCCCTGTCGAGAAACATAAAGCTAGCGCAGACGTATGTAGTGTCTTCGCGTCGGCTACCCATTGACTACCAATAATTCCAGTTGATATGCAGGTTTCTTTTTACTTCTCGGTTCTTAAGGTGAAATGCGCATACTTGCGTTTTCGATGGATTCGGTTCTTTTGGTAGTATATTGTAAAATCTTTTAGGGTGTTTTCCAGTCTTTCTTCGATTTCTTCAAACTTCTTACCTTGTGCCGTTAATGCCAGGTCGTCTGCGTATATAAAATGTCGTGTTGCTGTTCCTATTGGTTGGTCGTTCATGTAAATGTTGAACAGCATTGGTGCCAGTACGCTCCCTTGAGGGAGACCGTTTTTTTGTTTTCGCCATTCGCTCTTCTTGCCATTTAGTGTCACATAAAACCGTCTATCCTTTAGTAACATTCCTATGATTTCTGTTAGGCAATAATCCTTTGTCATCTCGTAGATTTTCTTTCTAAGCATTGCATGGTTCAACGTATCATAGGCGGCTGTGAGATCGACAAAAACTACTCCAGTTATTTTTCTTTTTTCAAATCCGTCCTTGATATGTTGCGTGATATTCAGTACTTGACTGGTGCATGATTTGCCCGCTCTGAAACCAGCTTGTTCGTGGATAATCTTGTCTTCAACGAGATTTGTTATTCTGTTTATAACAAGCCTTTCAAACAATTTATATAGGTGGCATAGAAGTGAGATCGGGCTGTAACTTTGTTTCTGCAGGGTCTTTACCTGGTTTGAGCAACGCTATAACCTGCAATTCTCTTCACTTTTTCGGTATTTTTTCGTTTTTATGGAGTTTCCAAAGAGTGTTGTGATCCATATCACCGTTATAGGTCCGAAGTGTTTGATTTGTTCATTAGGTATGCCAACTGCACCAGCTGCTTTCTTGTTTTTAAGACTTTTAATGACAATTTCTATTTCTTTAGTATCTAGTTCTGTCATGAACGTGTTAATTTCTTCGCACGGGTTCCTCTTAATCTTTTTGGATTCTTTAACAGTTCGTTTCGTCTTTCCATTTAGTAGGAGTTGATGAGCCACTTCGTTTGCCGTAACGTTCGTATGTATGAATCCGTTGTTTTTTTCACCGTTTAGTTTTTTTTTAAAGACGGCAAGCCTTATTACTATTTTGCACCATATTTATGTCTTCTATTGTCTTCTGCCATTCTTTTCTTCTTTCCTCAGCTATATCTGTCAAAAGGGCTTATCCTATTTGAATAGTTTTATCGTCAAATGGGTCGTTTTCATATCTTACTGTGTATTCATCAAGGGTCTTCTGTAACTCTTTCTTTATCCCTGGTATATAATATTGGTGGCAACCTCTGGGTATATACTGTTTTGAAACTTCCTTTATTATTTTCACAAAGTCTTCGTAATGTTCCGGTATTGGTTGGATTTTTTCAATTACCTGGTCTAGTGCCATTGCGTTTTCTCTTCATTTCGCTTTCTTGAAATTATAAC